CGTTTTTTTCAGTTTTCGGGCGAAAAATCAAGTTTCTCCAATCTTCTCAAAACTCTGGATTATGATAGAGGGCCGCGAGACTTTGACCTGAGCGCAAAAATGGAGGCTCTAGACCCTTCCAGAGCTGAGATATCGAAACTCAAAATTTCGACCCGAAAAAAAAACGACAGTGTTACCCCTTACGTTTTTTTCAGTTTTCGGGCGAAAAATCAAGTTTCTCCAATCTTCTCAAAACTCTGGATTATGATAGAGGGCCGCGAGACTTTGACCTGAGCGCAAAAATGGAGGCTCTAGACCCTTCCAGAGCTGAGATATCGAAACTCAAAATTTCGACCCGAAAAAAAAAACGACAGTGTTACCCCTTACGTTTTTTTCAGTTTTCGGGCGAAAAATCAAGTTTCTCCAATCTTCTCAAAACTCTGGATTATGATAGAGGGCCGCGAGACTTTGACCTGAGCGCAAAAATGGAGGCTCTAGACCCTTCCAGAGCTGAGATATCGAAACTCAAAATTTCGACCCGAAAAAAAAACGACAGTGTTACCCCTTACGTTTTTTTCAGTTTTCGGGCGAAAAATCAAGTTTCTCCAATCTTCTCAAAACTCTGGATTATGATAGAGGGCCGCGAGACTTTGACCTGAGCGCAAAAATGGAGGCTCTAGACCCTTCCAGAGCTGAGATATCGAAACTCAAAATTTCGACCCGAAAAAAAAACGACAGTGTTACCCCTTACGTTTTTTTCAGTTTTCGGGCGAAAAATCAAGTTTCTCCAATCTTCTCAAAACTCTGGATTATGATAGAGGGCCGCGAGACTTTGACCTGAGCGCAAAAATGGAGGCTCTAGACCCTTCCAGAGCTGAGATATCGAAACTCAAAATTTCGACCCGAAAAAAAAACGACAGTGTTACCCCTTACGTTTTTTTCAGTTTTCGGGCGAAAAATCAAGTTTCTCCAATCTTCTCAAAACTCTGGATTATGATAGAGGGCCGCGAGACTTTGACCTGAGCGCAAAAATGGAGGCTCTAGACCCTTCCAGAGCTGAGATATCGAAACTCAAAATTTCGACCCGAAAAAAAAACGACAGTGTTACCCCTTACGTTTTTTTCAGTTTTCGGGCGAAAAATCAAGTTTCTCCAATCTTCTCAAAACTCTGGATTATGATAGAGGGCCGCGAGACTTTGACCTGAGCGCAAAAATGGAGGCTCTAGACCCTTCCAGAGCTGAGATATCGAAACTCAAAATTTCGACCCGAAAAAAAAAACGACAGTGTTACCCCTTACGTTTTTTTCAGTTTTCGGGCGAAAAATCAAGTTTCTCCAATCTTCTCAAAACTCTGGATTATGATAGAGGGCCGCGAGACTTTGACCTGAGCGCAAAAATGGAGGCTCTAGACCCTTCCAGAGCTGAGATATCGAAACTCAAAATTTCGACCCGAAAAAAAAACGACAGTGTTACCCCTTACGTTTTTTTCAGTTTTCGGGCGAAAAATCAAGTTTCTCCAATCTTCTCAAAACTCTGGATTATGATAGAGGGCCGCGAGACTTTGACCTGAGCGCAAAAATGGAGGCTCTAGACCCTTCCAGAGCTGAGATATCGAAACTCAAAATTTCGACCCGAAAAAAAAACGACAGTGTTACCCCTTACGTTTTTTTCAGTTTTCGGGCGAAAAATCAAGTTTCTCCAATCTTCTCAAAACTCTGGATTATGATAGAGGGCCGCGAGACTTTGACCTGAGCGCAAAAATGGAGGCTCTAGACCCTTCCAGAGCTGAGATATCGAAACTCAAAATTTCGACCCGAAAAAAAAACGACAGTGTTACCCCTTACGTTTTTTTCAGTTTTCGGGCGAAAAATCAAGTTTCTCCAATCTTCTCAAAACTCTGGATTATGATAGAGGGCCGCGAGACTTTGACCTGAGCGCAAAAATGGAGGCTCTAGACCCTTCCAGAGCTGAGATATCGAAACTCAAAATTTCGACCCGAAAAAAAAACGACAGTGTTACCCCTTACGTTTTTTTCAGTTTTCGGGCGAAAAATCAAGTTTCTCCAATCTTCTCAAAACTCTGGATTATGATAGAGGGCCGCGAGACTTTGACCTGAGCGCAAAAATGGAGGCTCTAGACCCTTCCAGAGCTGAGATATCGAAACTCAAAATTTCGACCCGAAAAAAAAACGACAGTGTTACCCCTTACGTTTTTTTCAGTTTTCGGGCGAAAAATCAAGTTTCTCCAATCTTCTCAAAACTCTGGATTATGATAGAGGGCCGCGAGACTTTGACCTGAGCGCAAAAATGGAGGCTCTAGACCCTTCCAGAGCTGAGATATCGAAACTCAAAATTTCGACCCGAAAAAAAAACGACAGTGTTACCCCTTACGTTTTTTTCAGTTTTCGGGCGAAAAATCAAGTTTCTCCAATCTTCTCAAAACTCTGGATTATGATAGAGGGCCGCGAGACTTTGACCTGAGCGCAAAAATGGAGGCTCTAGACCCTTCCAGAGCTGAGATATCGAAACTCAAAATTTCGACCCGAAAAAAAAACGACAGTGTTACCCCTTACGTTTTTTTCAGTTTTCGGGCGAAAAATCAAGTTTCTCCAATCTTCTCAAAACTCTGGATTATGATAGAGGGCCGCGAGACTTTGACCTGAGCGCAAAAATGGAGGCTCTAGACCCTTCCAGAGCTGAGATATCGAAACTCAAAATTTCGACCCGAAAAAAAAACGACAGTGTTACCCCTTACGTTTTTTTCAGTTTTCGGGCGAAAAATCAAGTTTCTCCAATCTTCTCAAAACTCTGGATTATGATAGAGGGCCGCGAGACTTTGACCTGAGCGCAAAAATGGAGGCTCTAGACCCTTCCAGAGCTGAGATATCGAAACTCAAAATTTCGACCCGAAAAAAAAACGACAGTGTTACCCCTTACGTTTTTTTCAGTTTTCGGGCGAAAAATCAAGTTTCTCCAATCTTCTCAAAACTCTGGATTATGATAGAGGGCCGCGAGACTTTGACCTGAGCGCAAAAATGGAGGCTCTAGACCCTTCCAGAGCTGAGATATCGAAACTCAAAATTTCGACCCGAAAAAAAAACGACAGTGTTACCCCTTACGTTTTTTTCGTTTTCGGGCGAAAAATCAAGTTTCTCCAATCTTCTCAAAACTCTGGATTATGATAGAGGGCCGCGAGACTTTGACCTGAGCGCAAAAATGGAGGCTCTAGACCCTTCCAGAGCTGAGATATCGAAACTCAAAATTTCGACCCGAAAAAAAAACGACAGTGTTACCCCTTACGTTTTTTTCAGTTTTCGGGCGAAAAATCAAGTTTCTCCAATCTTCTCAAAACTCTGGATTATGATAGAGGGCCGCGAGACTTTGACCTGAGCGCAAAAATGGAGGCTCTAGACCCTTCCAGAGCTGAGATATCGAAACTCAAAATTTCGACCCGAAAAAAAAACGACAGTGTTACCCCTTACGTTTTTTTCAGTTTTCGGGCGAAAAATCAAGTTTCTCCAATCTTCTCAAAACTCTGGATTATGATAGAGGGCCGCGAGACTTTGACCTGAGCGCAAAAATGGAGGCTCTAGACCCTTCCAGAGCTGAGATATCGAAACTCAAAATTTCGACCCGAAAAAAAAACGACAGTGTTACCCCTTACGTTTTTTTCAGTTTTCGGGCGAAAAATCAAGTTTCTCCAATCTTCTCAAAACTCTGGATTATGATAGAGGGCCGCGAGACTTTGACCTGAGCGCAAAAATGGAGGCTCTAGACCCTTCCAGAGCTGAGATATCGAAACTCAAAATTTCGACCCGAAAAAAAAACGACAGTGTTACCCCTTACGTTTTTTTTCAGTTTTCGGGCGAAAAATCAAGTTTCTCCAATCTTCTCAAAACTCTGGATTATGATAGAGGGCCGCGAGACTTTGACCTGAGCGCAAAAATGGAGGCTCTAGACCCTTCCAGAGCTGAGATATCGAAACTCAAAATTTCGACCCGAAAAAAAAACGACAGTGTTACCCCTTACGTTTTTTTTCGTTTTCGGGCGAAAAATCAAGTTTCTCCAATCTTCTCAAAACTCTGGATTATGATAGAGGGCCGCGAGACTTTGACCTGAGCGCAAAAATGGAGGCTCTAGACCCTTCCAGAGCTGAGATATCGAAACTCAAAATTTCGACCCGAAAAAAAAACGACAGTGTTACCCCTTACGTTTTTTTCAGTTTTCGGGCGAAAAATCAAGTTTCTCCAATCTTCTCAAAACTCTGGATTATGATAGAGGGCCGCGAGACTTTGACCTGAGCGCAAAAATGGAGGCTCTAGACCCTTCCAGAGCTGAGATATCGAAACTCAAAATTTCGACCCGAAAAAAAAACGACAGTGTTACCCCTTACGTTTTTTTCAGTTTTCGGGCGAAAAATCAAGTTTCTCCAATCTTCTCAAAACTCTGGATTATGATAGAGGGCCGCGAGACTTTGACCTGAGCGCAAAAATGGAGGCTCTAGACCCTTCCAGAGCTGAGATATCGAAACTCAAAATTTCGACCCGAAAAAAAAACGACAGTGTTACCCCTTACGTTTTTTTCAGTTTTCGGGCGAAAAATCAAGTTTCTCCAATCTTCTCAAAACTCTGGATTATGATAGAGGGCCGCGAGACTTTGACCTGAGCGCAAAAATGGAGGCTCTAGACCCTTCCAGAGCTGAGATATCGAAACTCAAAATTTCGACCCGAAAAAAAAACGACAGTGTTACCCCTTACGTTTTTTTTCAGTTTTCGGGCGAAAAATCAAGTTTCTCCAATCTTCTCAAAACTCTGGATTATGATAGAGGGCCGCGAGACTTTGACCTGAGCGCAAAAATGGAGGCTCTAGACCCTTCCAGAGCTGAGATATCGAAACTCAAAATTTCGACCCGAAAAAAAAAACCGACAGTGTTACCCCTTACGTTTTTTTTTTCGTTTTCGGGCGAAAAATCAAGCTTCTCCAATCTTCTCAAAACTCTGGATTATGATAGAGGGCCGCGAGACTTTGACCTGAGCGCAAAAATGGAGGCTCTAGACCGGGGGTCCCCAACTGGCGGACCGGGGTCCAGGTCCGGACCCCGATACCTTTTTATCCGGACCTCTAAACATTTTTGTTTAAAAGTTTTGAAAAAAAAAAAAAATTACCGAAAGTAATTTTTGAACAGGCGTGCGCGCGGGCAGCTGCAAGAGCCGGGGTCCGGAGAGATCACAAACTTTGGCTAGTACACAACACATTACTAAGACATTCGTGAATGGATTATTATGGCTTTATCCAAAATAAGAAAAGTGGACTCAGAAAACCGCATCTTTCGAGATGAGTGGACTGAAGCGTATGCGTTCATTTTGCCGTCATCGAGCTCTACGAGGCCCGTGTGTCTTATTTGTTCGGAGTCTGTTGCTGTTGTTAAAAGTGGAAACATCAAGCGGCATTTCGAGACAAGACACAAAACTTTCAATGAAAATTACCCGCCAGGATCAGCCGCGAGGACGAGGAAAATTTGTGAACTGAAAGGACAGTATGAGCGCGCAACACGGGTGATAACACAGTCCCTTACAGCACAGCAACGAGCCTACGAGTGCTCACTTCGAGTACAGTGGATTTTAGGCAAACATAAAAAGCCTTTTACTGACTCCGGAATGGTGAAAGAATGTATGGAGGCGTTGGCAGACACGTTGTTCGAGGGTAAAGAAGGACAGCAGCTAAAACAAAAGGTTCGTCAGATTCCTTTATCATCCACAACAACAACAAGAAGAGCTGAGCTACTGTCGGAAGATGTGCAGTCCCAGCTTGACAGCGCCATCCAAAGTGCCCCGTGCATTGTGTTAGCTGCTGATGAATCAACTGACGTAAGTGATAACGCTCAGCTCTTGGTGTATGTCCGATTCTATCGTGAGGAGACTAAAACATTTGTAGAGGACATTTTAGGTGTCACAGCTTTAAAAACGCACACCAGGGGAGAGGACATATATTTGGCCATTAAGGAAATGCTGACACAGAGGAGAATCGATCTAAAAAATGTTGTCTCCATCACCACTGACGGGGCCCCGTCTATGATGGGAAGAGAAAAAGGTGCAGTCAGTCGACTGAAAGAGGACAACCCAGAGCTCTTGTCATATCACTGCATTATCCACTTGTCTGTTCTCTGCTCCACACTTTCAGAGCACCACGCAGAAGTTATGAACACCATCACCAAACTAGTTAACTTTCTCAGGGCTTCATCAGCTCACCAGCATCGTCTGCTCAGGGAGTTTTTAGCAGAAGTAGATGCTCCTGCCAATGACCTGCTCTTGCACTCCAATGTCAGATGGTTGAGTAAAGGAAAAGTGCTGGCTCGCTTTTGGAAGCTAAGAAAAGAAATTAAAGATTTCCTTGCACAACAAAAAAATCACAAGGCTCATGTGTTTTTGCACTTTTTAGAAGAGGAAAGAAACATGGACACACTGGCCTTTCTGGTTGACATCACAGGGCATTTAAATGACCTCAATCTGAAGCTTCAAGGGAAAGACAATTCTGTGTGTGACTTGGTGGCTGCAGTCCACGCTTTTCAGAGGAAACTGGACATTCTGAAAATGGATCTTGAGCAGGACTGTACACATTTTCCTTCAATGAAGGAGATACAGGAGATCAATGTCACTGCTCATTCTGACTTTATCCAAAAGTTGATTGAAAACTTTAAGGCTCGCTTTGATGGCTTTCCATTGGGAGATCAGCTGATGCTCTTTGTTAGGAGTCCATTTTTTGTTAAGAATGTTATTTCTTTCTCAAAGGAGGCAGTACATATGTACAAATGGGTTTATGCACAGGCCCTTCAAATGGAGCTATTAGATTTACAGGCTGATGTAGTGTTAAGAGAGCAATGTGAATCCTCTGACCCGGTCACATTTTGGCTGCAGACTGTGCCAAAGGCAAAGTTTCCTGTACTTAGCAAAGTGGCAGTGTACACATTAACAATGTTTGGCTCTACCTATAGCTGTGAGTCAGCCTTCTCTACGCTAAACATCATTAAGAATAAGTACCGCTCACAACTGACCAATGACCATGTGCATGGATGTCTGAGAATTGCTTTGACTCCATTCCTTCCCAGATTTAAGAGATTGGCTGCCAGTGCCCATGCAAATTTCTCACACTGAGCTAAGTTTAAAAACTTGCTTGTTTACAAAAATGTTTACTTCATTTTTTGTTGCACTAATAGAAGTATTGTTCAACATTTTTTACATAATGCATTATGAGGTGCATTATTTGTTCCCTTTTGCACTTTTGAAGTGCAATGTTTGCAAGTTTATGTGCAATAGCAGCTGTTCACAACACTGAATGTGTTTTTCTTGAGTAGTTATAAAGGTAAATCATTTGCACTTAATATAAAAAGATTGTGACTTTCAGTCTTTATTTTTATGCTTCTGTTTCTGTTATTGATGTTCAAAGGTTTGACATTTGAATATTTGCACTAAAATGAAATAATACTTAAATGAATTTCAACAAAATCAGTTGAATAGATTTAAACAAAGATTTTATTGTCAAATGTTTTATAGTCATTTTGTTGCACTAATAGAAGTATTGTGTAATTTTTTTTTTATATAATGCATTATGAGGTGCATTATTTGTTCCCTTTTGCACTTTTGAAGTGCAATGTTTGCAAGTTTATGTGCAATAGCAGCTGTTCACAACACTGAATGTGTTTTTTCTTGAGTAGTTATGAAGGTAAATCATTTGCACTTAATATAAAAAAGATTGTGACTTTCAGTCTTTATTTTTATGCTTCTGTTTCTGTTATTGATGTTCAAAGGTTTTGACATTTGAATATTTGCACTAAAATGAAATAATACTTAAATGAATTTCAACAAAATCAGTTGAATAGATTTAAACAAAGATTTTATTGTCAAATGTTTTATAGTCATTTTGTTGCACTAATAGAAGTATTGTGTAATTTTTTTATATAATGTATTATGAGGTGCATTATTTGTTCCCTTTTGCACTTTTGAAGTGCAATGTTTGCAAGTTTATGTGCAATAGCAGCTGTTCACAACACTGAATGCATTTTTCTTTGAGTAGTTATGAAGATAAATCATTTGCTCCTAATATATTAAGATTGTAATTTTCAGTCTTTATTTTTATGCTTCCTGTTGCTGTTATTGACATTCAAAGGTTTGATATTTGAATATTTGCACTAAAATGAAATAATACTTGAATGAATTTCAACAAAATCAGTTGAATGTATTCAACTGTATTCAAGTATTCAAGATAAAGATTTTATTGTCAAAGATTTTGCCAATTTGTTGACATTGTTACAATTTAATAAAATGAAAGCAAACTTATTTTGTCGGGTTTTTGCATCTCCGGACCCTCGTTTACTGGGCTGATCTGGTTAGTGGACCTCTTGCCAATTTAGTTGGGGACCCCTGCTCTAGACCCTTCCAGAGCTGAAATATCGAAACTCAAAATTTCGACCCAAAAAAAAAACGACAGTGTTACCCCTTACGTTTTTTTTCGTTTTCGGGCGAAAAATCAAGTTTCTCCAATCTTCTCAAAACTCTGGATTATGATAGAGGCCGCAAGACTTTGACCTGAGCGCAAAAATGGAGGCTCTCGACCTTCCAGAGCTGAGATATCGAAACTCAAAATTTCGACCCGAAAAAAAACGACAGTGTTACCCCTTACGTTTTTTTGTTCGTTTTCGGGCGAAAATCAAGCTTCTCCAATCTTCTCAAAACTCTGGATTATGAATAGAGGGCCGCGAGACTTTGACCTGAGCGCAAAATGGAGGCTCTAGACCCTTCCAGAGCTGAGATATCGAAACTCAAAAATTTCGACCCGAAAAAAAACGACAGTGTTACCCTTACGTTTTTTTTTCGTTTTCGGGCGAAAAATCAAGCTTCTCCAATCTTCTCAAAACTCTGGATTATGATAGAGGGCCGCGAGACTTTGACCTGAGCGCAAAAATGGAGGCTCTAGACCCTTCCAAGCTGAGATATCGAAACTCAAATTTCGACCCGAAAAAAAACGACAGTGTTACCCCTTACGTTTTTTTCAGTTTTCGGGCGAAAAATCAAGTTTCTCCAATCTTCTCAAAACTCTGGATTATGATAGAGGGCGCGCGAGACTTGACCTGAGCGCAAAAATGGAGGCTCTAGACCCTTCCAGAGCTGAGATATCGAAACTCAAAATTTCGACCCGAAAAAAAAAACGACAGTGTTACCCCTTACGTTTTTTTCAGTTTTCGGGCGAAAAATCAAGTTTCTCCAATCTTCTCAAACTCTGGATTATGAGAGGGCCGCGAGACTTTGACCTGAGCGCAAAAATGGAGGCTCTAGACCCTTCCAGAGCTGAGATATCGAAACTCAAAATTTCGACCCGAAAAAAAAAACGACAGTGTACCCCTTACGTTTTTTTTTCGTTTTCGGGCGAAAAATCAAGCTTCTCCAATCTTCTCAAAACTCTGGATTATGATAGAGGGCCGCGAGACTTTGACCTGAGCGCAAAATGGAGGCTCTAGACCCTTCCAGAGCTGAGATATCAAACTCAAAATTTCGACCCGAAAAAAAAACGACAGTGTTACCCCTTACGTTTTTTTTTCGTTTTCGGGCGAAAAATCAGTTCTCCAATCTTCTCAAAACTCTGGATTATGATAGAGGGCCGCGAGACTTTGACCTGACCGCAAAATGGAGGCTCTAGACCCTTCCAGAGCTGAAGATATCGAAACTCAAAATTTCGACCCGAAAAAAAAAACGACAGTGTTACCCCTTACGTTTTTTTTTCGTTTTCGGGCGAAAAATCAAGTTTCTCCAATCTTCTCAAAACTCTGGATTATGATAGAGGGCCGCGAGACTTGACCTGAGCGCAAAAATGGAGGCTCTAGACCCTTCCAGAGCTGAGATATCGAAACTCAAAATTTCGACCCGAAAAAAAAACGACAGTGTTACCCCTTACGTTTTTTTCGTTTTCGGGCGAAAAATCAAGTTTCTCCAATCTTCTCAAAAACACTGGATTATGATAGAGGGCCGCGAGACTTGACCTGAGCGCAAAAATGGAGGCTCTAGACCCTTCCAGAGCTGAGATATCGAAACTCAAATTTCGACCCGAAAAAAAAAACGACAGTGTTACCCCTTACGTTTTTTTCATTTCGGGCGAAAAATCAAGTTTCTCCATCTTCTCAAAACTCTGGATTATGATAGAGGCCGCAAGACTTTACCTGAGCGCAAAAATGGAGGCTCTAGACCCTTCCAGAGCTGAGATATCGAAACTCAAAATTTCGACCCGAAAAAAAAAACGACAGTGTTACCCCTTACTTTTTTTCAGTTTTCGGGCGAAAAATTCAAGTTTCTCCAATCTTCTCAAAACTCTGGATTATGATAGAGGCCGCAAGACTTTGACCTGAGTGCAAAAATGGAGGCTCTAGACCCTTCCAGAGCTGAGATATTGAGATACCACGTAGCATTTATGCCATTATAAATATCTCAATATCTCAGCTCTGGAAGGGTCTAGAGCCTCCATTTTTGCACTCAGGTCTAAGTCCCATGGTCCTCTATCAGAATCCAGAGTTTCAAGAAGATTGGAGAAACTTATTTTTTTGCACCTAAAAAAAACAAAAAAAACGAAAGGGGTAACACTGTCGTTTTTTTTTTTTTTTGGGTCGAAATTTTGAGTTTCTCTGATCTTCTTGAAACTCTGGATTCTGATAGAGGGCCATGAGACT